CCTTGGAAGTTTATGAAGTTACGTTTTGACCCCTAAAAAAGTGAAAGAGTGTGTTCTTGGCTAAACAGACTATTACATTCCAGACACAACCATGAATTCTGTTTTTGCAGATTTGGATAATTTTTAATTGTTATAGTTGTATTTCAATTTGTAGTAGTTTTAATTTCTAGTTTGTAATAGTTCCACCATAGTGAAAGAAAATGGTAAAAGAAAGAAATTATAAACCATCGAATTTATAGAAATTTTTAAGATTAATTTTATTATTTCCAAAGTGGTTTGGTTTTCTGTATAGAAACCAAAGTATTTAGCCTTGGCCAAAGAGTATTTCTAAGTAATGTTCAGAAATGACAACTAAGATGGATTTAGTTTCAATCCTTTGTGGTTAGATGAAGTCTTTAGGGGTAGGAAACCAAGTTTTGAGAAAGTGTTTTGTTTTGAGAAAAGAAACCAAATTTTAGTATTAGCTGAAATACTTCTAATTTTTATTCAAAAATAATGAGCTCAGTTTCGGGAGTACCGGCTAACTTTATGAGTGGTTTAATTCTGATAGCAATTTTTAATTGCTTGTAAGTTTTGTGAACTTGATTTGTTTTAACCAAGTTTATCCCTTGAAAAACTTAATTCTAAATTTGAATCCTATGGACTAGGAGTCAACATGCTCTTGAAAGTTTTGTCTAAGATTAACTGGGCCTTAAGTGGGACCAGCGTAACCCCTCCAATTTTCCTAAAAATTTTCCTGACCATGTTCGATTCTAGGATAAGTGGTGAGATCAGTTTTGAATTAAATTTCAGACTTTGGATTTTCTAGTGTTAAATTTAGTTTCTGGAAAAACAGAATAGTGAAATTCTGTTGTGATTTTTCAGAAATGGTTTCAAGATGTGACAACAGAAAATATTGTTCCAACTGACAACCTTAAGCCTTGCGAGGTTCTTAAAGGAAGATCTAGAGAGAAGAAAGTGTGATTAAAGGAAATCATAAGATTACATGATAATATCTTTGAATTAATTAGAGGCAATTAGTATGTTATCCGTGCGTCAATTATTGTTATGTGACTTTGCTTAAGAGCAAAGATGAGACAACCCGTTAGGGTAGGTGAATGTAATTTTTGAATTTTTATAATTTTGAATATATTCTAGAATTGGTGACTCCTAGTGAGTGCAAGATCACTGATCTCAGAGATAAAAAACTGGTGGTTCCTAGGGGGTGTTAGACCACTGACGACTCAGTTATGAGAATGTGGTTCTTAATAGTGAACAGATTACTGATCATATGTCAAGATATGATGATTCCTAGTAATGAAAGAGTCTATTGATCTTATGTCAAGATGTTGTGATTCCTAGTAGTGGAGTGACCACTGATCACATGTCAAGATATTCTGATTCTTAGTAGTGAAAGGTCTACTGACCACACGCTGAGAAAGTACAGTCTCATTGAGTAGTAAATGTGACTTAAATGAGTGGTAAGTCAAGTCTAATAAAGTAGTAAGGAGAGTCTCATTGAGTAGTAAGTGTGATTCAAATGAGTGGTAAGTCAAGTCTAATGAAATAGTAAGTACAGTCTCATTGATTAATAAGTGTGGTTTAAATGACTAATAAGTTTAATAAAGTAGTAAGTAGAGTCTCATTGAGTAATAAGTGTGATTCTGATAAAGTAATAAGTACAGTGTCATTGAGTAGTAAATGTGGTTTAAATGGGTGTTAAGTCAAGTCTGATAAAATACTAAGCAGAATCTTATTGAGTAGTAAGTGTTATTTAAATGACTGATAAGTCAAATTTGATAAAGTGTTGTTACGAGTGCCAACAAGGCACAAGGCAATGCAATGTATCGTAATGAATAAATTTATTATTTAAAATATTACCTGCTAAACAAGTCACTTTCATTTCTTGAAAATTTTGTCATCTTTTTCATTTTAAATTAATTTTAAATATATAAAACTAATGACATACCACATTTAATTATTTTCCCTCCATATTTTGTCTTGTTATGATTTGTAAAAAGTAAAATCTGATATGCAAATATTTATTTTAATAAAATTTGTCAAAATTTACCAATTTTTTTAAATAGTCATTATTGTGAAAAATTAATTTTCCATATAATATTAAAAATAAATAAAAAAGAATAGAAACTCATTAAATAGTAAGCAGGGTTTAATATAATAGTAAGGGCTCGTTTGAGAACATACTATTTTAGTAAATTTTTTATTTTTTAGCTCAAATATGAGGTTAAAAAAAAATTAGTATGTTTAGAATGATTTTTGATTTTTTACAGAAAGATGTGCAAAAAGTAGAGAGAAAAGAAAATCTTTAATTTTTTGGTATATGTTATTAGCTTTTTAAATTTTTTAGTGATTTTTTGACTTTTAGGCTAAAATATTAAGTTGCTAAACGAGGCCTTAGCTAAGTTTAATCAAATTATAAGTGGAATCTCATTGAATAATAACTCAAATCTACTTATCATGAAATAGTAAGTAGTAAGTCAAGTCTAGAGAGGTAGTAAGAGGAGTTTATTTGAGGAGTAAATCAAGTTTAATGAAGTAAGTAGTAAGTCAAATCTAATTAAGTAACTAATTATTTATTACTTTTTTAAACCAACTTATAACAGTATGATTGTCATTATGTTGGTTAGTTTTTACTTAATTAGTACTATAGTTTGTTGCGCTCACGATTTCTTTTGGGAGGAAAAATCCAAGTCCCTTTTTCTCTATGTATAAGAAGCCCTAACCTCTTTCTCTTCTTTATGAGAGAGAGGATGATACTTATAGCCTTATTTTCCTCTCCATTTCTTCTTCCACAATTTCTTCTTTTTTTTTTTTTTTTTCAACACTATGTTAGCTACTATTGTTTGTCTCGTCTCCATTATCAACTGATCACCGAGTAAACTTTCAGATCTAGATTCAAATTTGATTCATGACTGAGATCCGACGCTGCTAAACGTTATACATTAGGCGATCACTTCAGATCCAAAATATTTTATTTTGTAATGTAAAAGCGAGAATTAAAGTACCAAAGTTATCTGTTGCAATGATAAATGGATCGTGAAGGTAATTAGTAATGTTTGTTTGATAGTGATTATTTTGATTTTTATTTTTTTTTTCAATAATACCTCTCTGTGTAGAGTTTTTCTTTTTTCATGGAGGTTTTTTTCCTCTCTACTTGGAAGTTTGTTTTTTTCCCCTGTGTAGAGACTCATATCCTCTCCAAGGAAAAGTTTTCTTTATCCCTTTTGAGATCTATCTTGTACTCTAATATACTTTATTAGATGACTTATTATTGAATATATAATATATTAAGTTTCTTGCTTTCTTATAAAAAAAATTTTAAAAATAATTTGTTAATGAGTGACATATGAAATTATATTTACTAATAAAATTACTTGCTATGTATGACATTACTTACCGCTCTTTATGAATTTACTTATCATTTGTTGTGAAACAACTTACTACTCATTCTGAATAGGGGTGTAATTTTGGCCTGGCCCACAGGCCAGAAAACTAGGCCCAGGCCTAGGGTTATTCGGGCTTTGGGCGGGCCAGTGGGCCTTCCCTCGGGCTAGGCCCTTAGGCCTGGGCTCGGGCTTTGGGCGGGCTTAGGCGGACCTAAACAATTTTTAAATTTTTTTTTTTATTTTTTCTACAAAAATTTTATTATTTTTCATTAAAAATAACACTGGGCCTCGGGCGGGCCTCAAGCGGGCCTATGGGTCAAGCCGGGCTTCAAAACGATGGTCCAGGCCCTAGCCCAAGGCTTCGGGCTGGGCTTGGGCCCGGGCCTAAATGGGTCTTAACGGGCCGGGCCCACCTCGGGCCGCCCGCAGGCTACGGGCTAAAATTACACTCCTAATTCTGAAGTAACTTGAAATGACTTACTATTCATTTTGAATTAACCTACCACTTTAGTGCTTGTTTTGAACTTATTTATCACTACTTATGAAGTTGCTTACCACTTAAGTCGGATAACTCGAGGAGAGCAATTTTAGAACTTCATATATTTATTATAATAGTAACAATATATTAATTTTATTCTTTTTTTTTTATTGAAAAAATTTAAATTAAATATTTATGGAAGGTGGATTATAGATATTAATAGCTATATTTTATTTTTTTATTTTTTTTGCATGATTTTAATTAAGTTTTTCAATTAATACACTAAATAATATTTTGAATCCAGTAAGCTACTTATTATACAGACATAAAAACCCTCAAAATTTGCCAAGTTAGTCATTCAATGGGTCCACAACAAAATTTTCTCAAGAAAATTACAAATCATTGAACTATTTATAAAATAATTACAGATTAATAAAAAAAATTATAACTTCAGATTAAAATATATAAAATTTATGATGTAATTATTATTTCAACAATAAAATTAATATTCCTCGACACCTCTTCCCTCAAAAGGGGGGGAACAAAAAACTTTCATCACAGTCCTATTCCGGTCACCATGCAAATACACCCAGAAATATTGCAAATCAGCAATCACCATTCTCACGAAAATATTACTAATTTATTGGGTTAAGCATTCGGAGGGAATCAAAGAAAAAAAAAAAAAAAAAATTAAACAAAACCAAAAAGCACCACCAACAACAGGGGATGAGTGGAGCCATCTCTGTTGGTGACGCTGACGGAAGGATTTGCATCCCCTATTGTTAGCAGCCGATGCAAGATTCTGAGTCTCACATTCGGCATCAAAATCTGTGTTGGGTTTTCACCATGAAAACATCAAGATGTGGCCATGAGTTTTCACCATGAAAACAGACGAAGAGACAGGGGGAAGAGGAGAGACCAGAAGAGAGAAAAGGAAAGAAAAAGACACCATGGGCTGTGTTGTTTACCGGTTGTAACCGGTTGCCGAATCTTTTTGGTGGACAGCACAAATCAAAAAGGAAGATCCAATGGCTCATATTAATTTATGTATCACCATTTGCGTACTGTAGTTGGACCCTCAAATTATTATCTTTATTTGGTGGGTACGACAGTGGACCTCCTCAACAATAATTGAAGTAAATGGAAAGGATACAAAGAGAAGGAAATAAAAAGACAGCATAGAACGAATTGGAGAGAGAGAGAGAGAGAGAGAGAGAGAGACGTCGTCCGAAGAACGACCAACCTTATTCTCAGAACTCCCTCGTCGTCGTTGCCTGGTAGTACTACTCCTGTCCTTTTTACTTTATTTACGGTGAATTTAGGTGTTTCGCGTGAAATCCTCAAAACTTTTTGTTCTTTTGTTTTTCTTTTTCATTCTGTTAACAGAACATTTAGACCATGTTTATTTAGACGAACATCAACTTAAATTAATAATTCAACAAAATATATAATTCAATATTTGGTTAAAAAAATTACTGTATAGACTAATACTTTATTCATACTATGGAAAATTATTGAATCCAAGAGAAGTGGGATAGAAAATGAAGGGCTAACGGGTGGACAAATCTTACCGGGTTGCACTATTTAAGTTTCGTTTGCTATTAGTTAATATTTAGTTAATATAATCAATATTTTTGTGTTGTGATTTTTTTAGCTTGGCTTTTTTAGTTTCATTTGGTTTGAATTTTTTAAACTTTTTTAACTTTTGTGAAAACAGAAGTGTAATGATTGTGAGTTGGATGTGATATTTTGTTTTATTAATTTATTTAGTCTATTTTGTCATTTTATATTTTTTTAATTCCAAAATGATAGTCAAACCAGGGCTTAATAGGAGGGTATGTGTTATTCCAAATCAGGCCCGATCCAACATGAGGCCTAATTTAACCATCTCAATCCTGATCCTAAAATAATTTCAAATCTCAAGTCCTTCCATTTAATTCAATAGATATGAATTATTAATTTTTTATTTTTTTTATCTTTGATAAATATCAAATTATTTTAATCCTTTTATTTGTTATTTGAATTTAAAATGTTAACAAAATTGAATGATAAAATAAATATGATTTTTAATAAATATATTTTAATTTTAGTCCTAGAAAGAAGTGTATATATATATACTTTTTTATATATGTATTTTCTACTTTGTTTTATTATTAAAATAATATAAATTATAATTAATATTTTATAAATGGGCGGCTGGGCTCGATTGGCGGGGTTAAAACTCTCTATCCCAAGTTTAAAAGTGATTCTATTTACACCCAAATAGTAATTTAGTACGCTTAACTAAAATTTTGAAATTTTAGTTCCTATTATACTCTAATATAAATTTATTAATAAAAACAATACACATTAAATCTTAAAATAAATTTTTTTCTTAAGGTACACTCTAATCACTTATTCTTTATATTTAGGTCTTTTCATATTCTTTCCAAAGTTTCAATTATTTTCTCTTTATCTTTTTTCTCACTCTAAAACTCCAATTCACCCTACCAAAACTCATCATTATTATCAACATCATTGTTTTTTATTGTATTGCTACCTGCAAATAGAAGAAAGTTTGAACAAAATCAAACAATGAATGAGGATAATAATCAAAACTGTTTTTTGAAGTAACTTATCAAAGTAAAGGTAAATATTCACATAAATATCAAAATACAATTCTTGAATTTTGTATTTTTTTAACGTAAAACACGAAAATTCAATTTGTTTTACATCAATATTGTTTGGATTTTTAGATCTGAAAAAATTGAATTCATTTGAATCTGAAAGTTTGAACAAAGCAGTCTTGTTTGGCATTGGAGGGCGAATAAGTTGACTTACACCCAATTTTCGTTTTGTCCTTCTTCAACTTGAATCCAATGTGCTCCTTCTTTAATAATTGTTGGCAATGAAAAGGCTAAGGCCAAGTTTGGCTATCCTAAATAAGTACACATTTTTTTATCTTTTTATCTTTTTTCCATCACATCATCTCTCTACTTTTCTGCACATCTTTTCGTAAAAAGACAAAAAGTACACTTATTTAAGTCATCTCAAACAATCCCTAAGAAGAAGATGATGTGGCTAATAAGAAGATGCCGTGGCTAAGAATAGCCGAGAAGAGAAGAGAAGGGAAGAGAGAATTTTTTTAAAATTGATTTTATATTAAGATTATTATTTCGGTATACCATAAAATTAAATATTATACCATTCAATGGTAATTTGTAAAAAATATATGGTGTATTGAGAGTAAATTAAATATTTAAATAATTTAATAGGGAGTAGTAAAAAATTAGGTGTGCTAATTAATTTTTTGGGTGTAAATAGAATGTTCCTAAGCCCAACCCGAACATTAAATCAGCATAAAATCTTAGCCTAGTTCGGTCATATGGGCAAAATAATTTTTCTAAACTATAAAAATACTAGGTTGGATTGCACGGGGTTGGGCAGGCCAGTGAGCCAATAGCCACCTTATAGACTAATTAGTTACAATTATAAAATTGATACGATCTTATGAATCCCTTCTCATAATCCTAAACCAATAAGTTTGTTTGGATGTACATAACCTTTAAATTGGACTAACAATCCAACAAAATCCATAATCCAATGTTTAGTCACGAAAATTAGCGTTCAAACTAATCATCCATTTAAACATGGTATCCCTTATATGGGGGATTATTGAATCCCAATAAGGAGTAAGATACAAAATAGACGACTAAAGAGAGATTCGAAAATTAGTTAAGTTGAAAAATTAATTATATACACAATCTATAGGAATTGATAATCCCAGGACTAACAATCTTATTTAATCAAATCTATTCAAATAAATATGACCTTATTATCATCCTATCTAGATTGTTCAAACAAACATGGCCTTAAGGGTTTTTTTTTCACTTCTTTTATTTACTATTAGTGGTTTGTGGATACAAAAAATAATAAACAAATAAAAATTAATTAATAGATAAACAAATTAAGATGTGGGTAAAATACAAAAATCACCCCAACAGTATTACCGTTTTGTTTAATTCATTCCTAAACTATTGAAAGTGCTTGTTTGTGTACCTAAACATTTTAATTTGAGTCTAATAAGTATGTTTGACCCAAAAATAAAAATAAAAATATCATTGAAATTGCTGACAGCATGATCTAAAAAATAGACATTTCACCGCTATCTTTCTTCCTAAAGCTAATGTGGCATCATATGGTGCCGCATGCATGCCACATGCGCACCAAAAAAAAAACCATCTCAGACCCAAAACTATGTAGTTTTTTACTTAAAAAACCACTCCAAAAAACATCCATTGATTCGAAACTATGTAGTTTTGAGTAAGGTTGTTGATAAGTGCTTGAATATTTATATTCAAGTCTTTTAAAATATATTTGTTAAGTTTGTAAAAACTAGAATTTTAGGTAGGAATGTTGAAAGGCACTCGTAAATCATATCGTAAAATCAAATCGAGAATTATGAGATTTTACTTTCAATGCAAAATAAAATTAAAATTATTGATAATGTAAGTTATATAATTTTAAAATCATTATAAATAATAATAAATTTAATATAATGTATCTTCTATGTTAACATGAATTAGAGGAGACGTTTAGAGAAAGAGTTTAGAGTTAAATTTTTTTATATAAATATACACATATCCATACATATGTAAAAAATAAATAATAGGAAAAATATCCTGGCAGGATACAATTAAGATCATAATATGATTTTACACGAGTATATTAGTTTGGTTTGGGTATGAGTCAGGATAACGGATTATGACTTCATAGACTCAAATTAAGAATGTTTAGGCACACAATAAACACTTTCAACAGTTGATAGACGAATTAAATAATAGTTTGGAGGTGGTTTTCATATTTTTACCCTAACACCCGTTTGGATTGAGGGGTTTGGTAAGAAAAAAATCAACAATGATAGAGAGCTCTAATTTTGAAACTCTAAAGAGAGTTCTAATGATGTGGTAAGAGAGAGAGAGAGAAAAAAAAAAAACCATAGGCACATACATTACATCACACGTTTGAATGGTTTCTCATCACTTGTTTGGATGATAATAAAGTGAGTAATGGTGAGAAAATCAATTCAAACCAAATTTATGTCTTTCAATCATAGTTCATCTAAATAAGAAAGTTATAAACCACATTCATTTCATTTGATTTCATTTCATACCTAGGTGAAAAAGTCTAATCATTTCTTTTCTTTTTTCCTCTCTCAGTCGAAACGGAGCATAAAAATGACGAGATTTTGTTGATGTCAGTAAACATTTTAGAGTTTTCTTTTATTAAAATGTTTTGTGGATGTTGCAGAAAAGCTCAAAAAAATTTCAAACCCCAACGAATCAATGGAGAGAGAGGAGAAAATGGAATTGCCAAGGTTTGTGGCGCTTAAATCAATCCACAACAACAAATACTTGCGCTACATACATGAAGCTGGGCAGGTACATGGGTTTCTCCGATTCTCGGAAAAGGTGGTTTCCAGTCCCTACGCCAAGTTAGAAGTGGAGATGGCAAAGACAAGTAATAATGGGAAGCGGCTTGTGCATATAAAATGTTGTTTCAACAACAAATACTTGGTAAGGTGGACGCCAAACCACTGGTGGATTGTTGCTGAGGCTGACGAACCAGAGGAAGACCAATCCAAATGGTCCTGTACGCTGTTTGAGGTCCTCTTCTTGGATGGAGCTATTCACCCATCAATTGAAAATGTTAATAAAAAAATTCGATTTCGCCATGTCCAGCTCGGCCACTATGCATGCTTATGGAGGGCAGCAGCCCCATATGATTCATGTTTATTTGCAGGATCAGAGAATTTTGACAATGATTGGTGCGATATCTACACATTCATTGAATGTGAATCAGTGTTGTCGACACCGACATCCTCAATGTTAGCAAGAGAGGAAATGCCATTATTGTCAGGGACGGTGGTGCTTAAATCAAACCACAATCACAAGTACTTGCGCTACATACATGAATATGGGCCGGTGCACAGGTTTCTCCAATTCTCTGGAGAGGAGGTTTCTAGTCAGTACGCAAAGTTTGAATTGAGGAGGGCAACGACTAGTAGTGGGAAGGGATGTGTGCATATAAGATGTTGTTACAGCAACAAATACTTTGTCAGGAAGTCGGCCAATGACCCATGGATTGTTGCAGGGGCTGACGAACCAGAGGAAGACCGATCAAAATGGTCCTGTACCTTATTCGAGCCCGTTTACGTAGATAATGATGATAATGATAAAGATGATGTTCAAACAGTTCGATTCCGTCACGTCCAGCTCGACCGCTATGCATGCTTAAGGAGGGAAGCAACTCCACGTGATTTATGCTTATGTGCAGGATCACCAGAGCCTGACAAAGATCAGTGTGATGTATACACAATCACTGATTGGGACTCACTGTTAATTTTGCCACCCAAAGACGAAGCATTTACAATACAGAACATGACATTGCCAAGGTTTGCGGTGCTAAAATCAAACTGGAATGACAAGTGCTTGCGCTACATACATGAAGATGGGGAGGTGCATGGGTTTGTCCAATTCTCTGGAGAGGAGGTTTCCAATCAGTATTCAAAGTACGAATTGGAGATGGCAAAAACTAGTAGTAATGGGAATGTACTTGTTCATATAAAGTGCTGTTACAACAACAAATACTTTGTAAGATGGTCGCCCAACCACTGGTGGATTGTTGCCACTGCTGACGAACCAGAGGAAGACCAATCCAAATGGTCATGTACCTTATTTGAGCCCCGCCGCATAAATGATTATGACGCTGCTCAAACAACAATTGGATCTATTGCTCAAACAATTCGATTGCGTCACGTCCAGCTCGGCCACTATGCATGCTTATGGAGGGTAATAACCGTACACAGTTCATGCTTATTCGCAGCAACCACAGAGCCTAACAAAGAACAATGCGATGTCTTCACAATCATCGATTGGGAACCGCTATCATTAGTGCAGCCCAAATCCAACGCTTTTACAAGAGAGACAGTAGCATTGCCAAGGTTTGTGGTGATCAAATCAAACTACAATGGCAAATACTTGCGCTACATACATGAAGATGGTGTGGAGCATGAGTTTGTCCAATTCTCTGGAGAGGAGTTTGTGAGCCCATACACAAAATACGAAGTGGTGATGGCAAAGGCTAGTGGTGGGAGGGGACCATTTGTGCACCTAAGATGTTGTTACAACAACAAATACTTGGTAAAGTGGTCGTCGATGCATGGTTGGATTGTTGCCGGTGCTGACGAACCAGAGGAAGACCAAAAACAATGGTCATGCACGATGTTCGAGCCCCTCTACGAAAATGTTGTAGCCCAAACAATCCGATTTCGCCATGTTAAAGTTGGCTCCTATGTATGCTTATGGAGGATAGCCTCTCCTCGTGATTTCTGCTTAATCACAGGAAATTCAATGCTTGACCCAGATCGACGTGATCTCTACACCATCATTGATTGGGAATCACTGTTCATACTACCTAAGTGCGTGGCGTTCAAAGGCAATAATGGCAAATACCTTAGCCCCTGCTTGATCAAGGGACACCAATATCTACATTTCTCCTCATCCAGTGGCATTACAGATCCCATGGTCTGCAACGAGGTCATCACAACTCCTAATGGAAGCGTTCGCATAAAGTCTCATCACTTGGGCAAATTCTGGGGGCGCAACAACCAAAATTGGATCTTGGCTGATTCAGATGACAACACCAGCAGCAGCAGCAGCAGCAACAACAACAACTCCTCCTCCTCCTCCTCCTCCATTTTAATTAGAATTTTTGTTGGTCGGTCAGAAAAAAAAAGAACACAAAAGCAAAAACAAGAAAACAACTCCCCTGAATCTGACATGTTTTGGCCGACCAAAGTTGGCAACAACGTTGTTGCTCTCCGTAACTTGGGTAATAAGAAGCTCTGCAAGATACTCTCTTCCGCCAATGGGAAGATTAACTGTCTCAGTGCTGATGTGTCCACCATTTCCACTGAGGTGCACCTAGAGGTTGAAGAAGCAGTTACATCAAGGAAGATATATAATGTCAATTTTCACCTCAGAGATGCCAGGATTTACAACCGGAGCATCCTCACTTTGGCCACTGAAGATGCTATTAACAGAACCCAAGAACCCAAAACTGTAGACGTCAAGCTCTCGTATTCAGAGAGTAAGACCCGTGCTTGGAATTCCAGCGTTTCATTGAAGTTGTTGGGTGTCAAAACCACCATCCAAACCACTGTTCCACTCATTATTGCAGAGAAGAAAATTGAGCTTTTGGGTGAATTTAGTGGAGATTACCAGTGGGGACAAACTAAGTCATTGACAACTGATGAGGAGAAAGTGTACAAGGTTAGTGTGCCACCAATGACAATGGTGAGGGTGAATCTGATAGCGACAAAGGCTTCGTGCGACATTCCCTTCTCTTATGAGCAGCTCAACACCACCACTCTTACTGATAGACAACAAATTACTGAAACCATGGATGATGGCATTTACACTGGCAGCAATTGCTTTAACTTCAAGTATGAGACTGAACAAGAAAAGCTTCTGGGTTGCTCTATTGCTGGAAGTTTGTGATGTTGAGGGCTACTCAACTCAACCCAGATTTCATGTCTGTTTTATCATTTCAGTTCATATGTATGTATATGTAAATAAATGTGCATTGGGAAATTCTATGATATGCACCGTTATGGCTTTAATTGTGACTTGTTGTAATATTGGTTATAATTTACTAGTGACATATTGTGGTTATTAGTTTAGTTATGACTTAAAAAGTCTTTGGGTACATCTCATGTGAAGTTTGGTTTTGACCCTTAGTTATGACACATTGTGTTCACGATATTGGTTATCACTCATTATGATCTATTATGCTTGTAATTTTGATTATGACTATAGAGATCTTTGATTATGCCTCAAAGGTGTTTGATTATGATCTATTAAGTTATGACAAAAAGTGATTTCATAACTTGCATTATGATATACCTATTTTGAGGGGTATGTATTGTAACATTATCACCAGAAATTATACACAAAATTTTTAATATATAATCCAAATTTATTCTACACATAAATTTTACAATACACTTACTCCACACCACACACACATGTATTGCATTCTGGAGGAAAAGATCACCATTGTTTGTTTGGGTTCCATGTATAAAGAAATGCTATTAGCCCAGAAAGTTGTCTAGAATCTTACAAACAAGAAGCCTTCAATTGGCACACCAGACTTTTTAACTATTTTAGTTACAAAAAGACAAAAAAAGGCTTTTTAGCACAATAAAACAAAACATCACATTCAAATCATAATCATTTCATTTTTCTCTCACAAAAGTCAAAAAAGTTAAAAAAAAACATATCACAAACGAGGTTTTTTTGCCCCAGGCTAAAATATATAGCCAAAAAGCCAACCCACATCCCAAACAAATGGTGTAGACTCTATTCTTATATTGTGGATCGCACTTTAAATAAATTTCGATTACATAATTAATTTTTAAAAGATTTTTGTAAGTAAATCTTTTTGGATGTGTAGTGTTGCTGATATGTAAATGGAAAATTCTATAGGACAGGGGTGTGTACCATATACACCTTTGGTTATGACGTTTGAGTCAATAGTTATGACATACGGTGTTGTTAGTTTTGACACATTTTGATGTTGGTTATGATAAAATTTTGATTATGACTTAAGAGTTGTTTGATTATACCTCATGTCATATTTAGTTATATATAACTTTTAATTTTTTTTTTTTAAATTGTGATCATCATAATATTGAGTATGTCATTTGTAATGATCAAACTCACAAATAACATAACTTGCATATGGTACACACCCTAAAAGGGGTGGTGTGTACCATAGTATTTTCCTATGTAAATATTACGAAAGGAAAAATCTATAATACCAAAAATAAAAACTAGGGGGGTTGTTTGGCCTCGTAAGGCTCACCACGGGCCCCGTTTTGATGATCTGAACTATTTATTTTCTCAGACATTTCATGCATATCATTCACACAAAAAATTAAGTCGACCTGTTAATTGTGACTTATTCATTTATTGTGTTTTTTATTTAAAAAATGAATGATAACTGTGTTTTTAAAAAATAAATCATACATTTTTTTATGACAAAAACAATAAATTGAACAAGTTGCAATTATCGAATCAATTTAATTTTTTTGTGTATGAAATACATGAAGTGTATGACAAAATAAACTGTTCGAATTATCGAAATGGGACCCATGATGGACTCCACGAGCCCAAACAGCTTCTCCAGTTCAGATTTAGACTGAAGGGAATCTTACTCCAAAAAAATAAATAAATAAAGCGAAATGCTTCTTTCCAATATATTGGACTGTCTAGTCCATGTTTGAACTTCACATGGTGGAATCAAAATATATAGGAAAATTCTATTATACACACCCCATACCATATACACTTTTAGTTACGTTATTCTTTAATTATGACCAATTTTCTTATTTAGTTATGACATTATTTTGAGTTTTCAGTTATAAGTTTTTTGTATTCGGTTATGAATTTTTTTTTTTTTTTTAATTATAACTCAGAAAGTATAAAATTATGTCATTTTCTTTTATACTGATAAGGTGCATATGGTACGCACTCTTTGAGGAGTATGTACCAAGTCTTTTCCACTTACAATGTTTGTAAATTAAACATGAAAATTAAGGAGCATGATCACAAATACATATGTAGGTTTGAGTACTAATTTTTTCTTATTTTCCAAAAAAAAAAAATTAAATTAAGTACCCAATGTTGCTAACTAATTTGATATTTGTTACTCCCAGCGTTTGTGGCTGGAATTATTAATTATGTGGAGAGAGTGTGCTGGGTTCTCAAGTTAGTATGTGAAGAGAGTGTGACCAAAAAAGAGATAAAAAAATAAGAAGTGTACTTTTTTAGTACACCCCAAACCAACTGGTCAGGAACACAAGCATGTAAGAGCTCTAGTCATGGGCCAGAGGTTGATGTTATGCGCTCCATCAACTTTGTTTGTACTATGTCTGCGTTGCTAGGATCGTTTTGGGCTATGTTTAGGAAAGAGAACTGGCATCGTGAGCACTACTACAACTACTCCATGATTGACGTTGCCATCACAGGAGTGCTACTATTTGGAGCTCTAGCATTGGAGATTTATGTAATCACTGCAGGAAATTAGGCTTTTAGCGGCATTTAAAAAACACTGATATAGGTACCAAAAACATCGCTAATTCTTTTTGTGACGTTTAGTACCAAACGCCGACAACGCAACCGTCGCTATAGCTTTATGACGTTTGGAAAACGTCGCTGTATTAGTATAGGCGGCATTTCTAAAAACGCTGGCAAATGTCCTACCCTAACGATACTGTGACATCACTATGGTTTTAGCGATGTTTTTAAAACGTAGTCATAAGTTTTTAAAATTTTAAAAATTCCAACCATTATAGTGGCGTTTTAGAAACGCCGTCTTATTTTTTTATTATTATTATTATTTTTTGAAATTGTGCTAATTTTATGTGATTGAACTAAAAGAACACCTGTAATTTTTTTCCAGATACCTCTTCTTCGTATTTTGATTCAACTTGTTACAATCATATGACCTTTGACCCTACACTTTTTTCTTCCATTTTATCTTCTTCTAATTTACTAATTATTCACACTGCTGATAGCTCTCAAATGCATGTTAGTCATATAGGTCATATCTCCACTTCTAATATCTCTCTGCGTCACACTTATCTTATCTTATCCTTAACCTTACACTTAATCTTATCTCTATTGGTTAACTATGTTATCTTGGCCTCACTATTTTTTTTTCTCCAACTGGTTGTGTTGTGCAGGATTCGAAGACGGGATAGACTCTTGGGATAAGTCGTAGACATGGTCGTCTGTACGAGCTCATCCATCTGTGCATTCCATCATCTAGTACTTCTCATATCCAGACTACTGCTCCTGCTACTACTAGTTCCCTTCTTGCTTTTTAGCATTCTCGGTTAGGTCATGTGTCGTTTGGTCATTTACGATCTCTAGTTTCAAGTGGTCAATTAGGCCTTGTTCCAAATGATAAAGTAGACTGCCTATCTTGTCAACTTGCCAAACAACCTGTTTTACCATTTCATACTAGTACCTCTATGTCTCATGTACCTTTTGATCTCATACACTCTGATGTTTGAGGATCTTCACCTAATGCCACTATGAGGGGATCTAAATACTTTGTCATATTTGTTAATGATTTTACTCATTTTACTTGGTTATTTCTTATGAAATCTCATTCCGAGTTACACTAAATATGCTATGATTTTTCACAAATGGTCAAAACTCAGTTTTCTTCCACCATCAAAACTTTTCGTGCTGCCAATGCCCATGAATGTAAAAAAACTCATTTTTTGAGATTCCTTCGTCAAAATGGTACACTTTCTCACTATTCTTGTCTTGGTATCTCCCAACAAAATGGACGTGCTAAGTGCAAACATTGCTATAACTTAGACATTGTATGTGCTTTTTTAATATCTTTTTCTTGTCCTAAATGTTTTTGGACAGAAGCTACTCTCACAATCGTCTATACTATCAACCGTGTCCCTTTCCTTATCATCAACAATCAAACCCGATGTGGTTCTTAACATTCCCCATATTGTCCATAAGATAGCAAAAGGACCTCCAAAAGAAGCAACCATTCTCATATTGATAATATATCTCAACTACATAACTATCAATGTTACTCGTAATAAGCTGAGTCACTTGATCATTTATTTTTCTACCCACTCTCGCAGTGTCAATTGTATCCAATAAATTAGATTGCGGTATAAAAAACCACAAGAAAGTGAGAAAATCGCCTCCCTGTCTGAGTTGTTCAAGATGATGGTTTTTTTGGCTCCTTAATTGCTGCATAGCCCAGCATTCCCAACCACAGGGATTTTAGTGTTTCCCATCCCAAGAAATTTCTGACAAAAATGTTGTGCAACAAGTAATATGCGGCGCAGATTGTCGGGGTCTTGGAATTGTATGGAATAATCTTTCAACCTTCTACAAGCTTCTTTTTCATTCTGCGCATCATTAAGAAACACTTTGAGCTCATAGATCAAGTTTGCTAACTCAATGTCCAATAGAGCAATGGGCAATGCTGAAGGGCACATGAAGAAAAGATACATCATGTAATGTGACAAAGTTTGCATGTTTCCTTAATTTGGTCACCACCTCTAAAGGAGTTCACACCTTGTTGGAAAGTATCATTCAAGTTCAAATGTGTTAGGTCCCTAAGTCTTGTCAATTCCACGAACAAACTTGTGTAATCGAGTTGTAATTTCTGTGCTGTTTTGTGTTGCTCGCTCGAGCGAAGAAGGCCTCGCTCGAGCGAAGGACTGCGTCTGGCTGCAAAACTGAAAGAGGTCATTGTGCGCTCGAGCGAAGCATTGGAGGCTCGAGCGAAGAACTGCATCTGCGTACAAACCTGAAAGAGTTTATTCCTCGCTCGAGCGAAGACTTTATGGCTCGAGCGAAGGTCCTTATGGAAGTCACGCGAGATAAGCTTCTCGCTCGAGCGAGATAAGCTTCGCTCGAGCGAGCTTCAGAATCCGGAAATCTATAAGTAGTTGGTTTCTCCAAAACTTTAGGATTACTTTTTTAGATCTACTTTGAGATTTTCTGAGGTTTTCTTGTGGAGAGATTTTGGTGAGTTTTCCTTGATGTCTTGAGAAGAGTTCTTCACTCATGATCTAAAATACATACATCAAGGAGGTGGTTTCTTTAAATTCAAGAGAGAGTTCTCTTCGGTGGATTCCGAAGATTCTAGCATATAGTTTCAAAAGGTGTTTGATTCTATATGTGAGTGAGGTTGTGGAATCAACTTCAAGATTGAT